CCTAACTGTGGGAATACACACTTGAAATTTTATTTCTAGGAAATAGAAAAGAGTCTAGAAACATTAACACACAAGATCAACCCAAAGCAGTCATTCAGAAAACATCTTAAAATCTTCTCTCAGCCTGTCACCAGAATTACACAAAGCCACCATGTGCAGTATGTATCCCATACCAGACTAATCTCCATCTGGACAGTATCAGAGTCAAACATCTAGTAGCAATAAGTCAGCCAGGAGAAACCAAAGTTATTTTGCTTTCATGACATCAATTTAGAAAACGAAACAATAACCCAGAAAAAAAAAAAAACAAGTTTATGTAGTTGATGATAGCCTACAAGGCAAACACCTGCTGCGATAAAATGAACGTAACATGTAGCTTTAAACCAAGGAGATGCTACCCAGGTGGGTCAAACTAAGCATAAAATGAGCATAGAAAGTTCAATCATGGAACTAGATAGGTTTATCTCTCCTAAAACAAACACCTCTCTAAAGTGCCAGGTAATTAACTAGAGACATACAGTACAACTGGCAGCAGTGGGCACACTTGCCTACCATCACCAGAACTCCTGATGAAGCAGAATGAATTATCATAGGATTAAGTTTTGCTACAGTTAAGCTAAAAATTCTTCTGATTATCCAGCCAAAAAACCCCACATTAAGGTTTGTATCGTGCTAAAAATGTTCTGTTCCCACCTGACTTTAGGAGCATGAAACAAGAAATCTGGCTATATTTACAACATCATATCACATCTTGCATTACAGCAACGGTCACCACAACTCCAAAATCTACTTTGGTATTGTGCTTCTTCTTCTAAGAATTCTGCTTAAAGCAGGAGGCAGGTGACATGGTCAGCAATACAAAAGATTTTTCATCTTTTTCAATCCTTGCAGATCTGGACTTACAGCTTGTAGCATTTTGGACTGTCCCGGGAGTGAATTGAATAGCCTTCACTCAGACGTGTGTCAGAGGCAACGATACAAAAGTCTTCTCCAGCAATTGCCAGCACAGTGCTTAAAAAAAAAGAGCATTGATAAATCATGACCTTCTCTTGACATATCTTTTAGGCAACACAGAAACAAACTAGATAGTAATTCTACACCCAGACTCATGTTTTGTCAAGCATCTTATATTCCTTGCTATGTTTCCCACTATGCACATCCCTACTCAACACTGAAGGAAGTAGACACCAGACTGACTTCAGAAAATATACGCATTTGTCCTTCTACCCTAACTTAAACTGTATAAAAACTTGGTAAAACAGAGGCTCTACACCAGGCAAGAACCAGACCCAATGGACAAGGTATTTTATATGCCTGATAATGACTCATCCTTCTAAAACAAACAAAGTACAAGCAATGTACTGAGAAACAGTATCACTTAAATAAACATCACTTTTAAAATCTGGTGTTATTACTTCCTAACAACTAGATTTGTGATCACCACAGGCGTCCTACCATTAAGTAACAAAGAGATGCCCTTCAAAAAGCAGTAGTCATCAGTAGGAAAAAAAACCTACCCGGCCAGATCTTGTCACCAACTCAGGTGTGTAAAACATCACCTGCCTTTAACAGTAACAATAAGGTGGCATTCAAACCAGTAACACGTCTACTAGCAACACAGTGAAGAGCAATGCCCATAAACAGAAGAAGTTCCACCTCAGCATGGGGAAGAACAACTTTACATTGAGGGTGGCAGAGCACTGGAACAGGCTGTCCAGGGAGCTCGTGGAGTCTCCCTCTCTGAAGACATTCAAAACCCACCTGGACACGTTCTGGTGTCACCTGCTTGAGGTGACACTGCCTTGGCAGGGGTGTTGGACTGGATGATCTCCAGAGCTTCCGTCCAGCTCTAACAACTCTGTGATTCTGTAATAGGACCATTACCTGAGCTTCCTAAGCCACTACAAAGAAACAACCCTGCGGCGAACGAAAGATGCGTCGTTTAAGACCAGTCGAAGTTCAGGGAGCCCGAGTGTTCCTAAAGGCACACGGACAGGCAAGAACACCCTGAAAGGCTGCCAAGGCCTCAAGGCAGGCCCAAGGCAAGCCCGAGCCAAGCTCCTCCCTGTGCTGCCGCTCTCTCCCTACAAAGAGGGGACCGTGAGGGGAGATAAACCCGCACCGAGCACCGAGGAGAGGCAGGAGTAAGGCGAGGCAGCCCCAGCGCCGCTCTCCCCCTGGGTCCCGTGCCCCGGGTGCCCCGTCCCGCCCGCTGCCTGCCCGGGCCCCTCACCCTCCGTTGAAGGTGTACGGCGAGAAGCGGTGGCGCTGCACGGGCGCCTCCAGCCCGCAGCCAAACTCGGGCTGGGAGGGCTCGAATCCGTATCCCGAGGTGGACAGCATCGCGGCCGCCCGATCGCTGCTGTCTCACGACGAAATGGCGGCACCGGAGGCGGAAGCGGAGCCGCTCTGGGAGGGCGGAGCCGCCGCCTCTGGGCCGCTCTGGCAGGCGGCGAGCGCCCTGGCCTGGCGGGAGGCGGCGGGGCCGCTGTGGAGCCGAGCCCGCCCGGGCCCCGCCTGCCGCAAGGTGTGTGCCTGGGCCCTGGGCAGCACCGGCATCGGTTCTTGTCCTAGCGCTGCCCTGTCACCTGCCTGCCCTCTCCTGGAAACACGGAGGCTGATCAGTAGCTGTGGTGAGGCCATCACACATCCCTCGCGTGTGGGCCGGTGGGCAGCAGGGCTACTCCTGCTCTGTAGGGAAGAGCGCCTTTGGAACCGCTGTGAAGAACGAGGGTCGGGATTCGTAGAATCATCGGGTGGCTGGAGTTGGAAGGGACCTTAAAGATCATCTAGTCTTGTCACAAACAGGGACACCTTTCAGTTTCACATCCTGCTTGGCCTTTAAACACTTCCAGGGATGGGGCACACACAACTTCACTGGGCAACCTTTGCCAGTATTGCACCACCCTCACAGCAAAGAACTTCCTCCTAATATCTAATCTAAACCACGTCTCTCTCAGTTTGAGGCCATTCCTCCTTGTCCTGTCACTACATGCTCTTATGAAATCAATCTCCACCTTTCTAGTAGGTCACCCTGAAGCCTTCTCTTATCCAGGCTGAATAACCAAAATCATCTCAGCTTTTCCTCATACAAGAGGTGCTTCATCTCTCCAAGCATCTTGGTGACCCTCCTCTGGACCTACTCCAACAGGTCTGGTTCTTGAGCTGCACACAGCACTCCAGCTGGGGTCTCACCAGGTCCTTGAGGTGGGCCATGAGGTGTAGTGCCAGGCACCGTGGCACGAGTGGAAACAAGTGGGAAGGGCTGGGATAGAAGCTCAAAGTGGTACCAGGGGAGAAGGAGAGGGTGAGGCCAGTGAGATGTGGGGGACACGTGTGGGGCTCCTGAGCAGCAGTGTGTCGCCCTGCTTGGGAAGCACAGCTGTGGCAGCTGCAGTCTCCATGGGCACCGTGCACACACAGCGGTGAGACCCACAGGTGGCAGCACAGCGGTGCAGAGCTCTGTACAGCTCCAACATGAGGAACCACAGCCTCTGTGAGTGCCTGCTGCACTGCCAGGGACCCCCACAGATTCACAAGATCTACCCTTCACAGGAAGGGACCACAGGGAGTCATCTGGGGCAACCCTTCTGCTCAAGCAAGGTGTTTTGGTTTGAAAAGACAGGTGTCTGCTAAGGAAGGCAGGAACCTCCCTTGAAATGGAAAAATGTTAAACCCCTCCCCGAATTATTATAATATTGAAATCTAGGGGCTCTCAGGGAAAGATATGGGAATAGGAAAAACAGTTCTTTACTACGAAAATTGAAATAAAAATGCAGTCGTACAAAAAAAATCCACTGTCAGAGTCAGAATACAACCTGACACCCTGTTGGTCAGGCTGTTGGTAGCAGTCTGATTAAATGGTGGCTGCAGTCCTCCTGGAGTGACAGATGTGGTTCTGTTGAAGCAGTGATCCTGTAGAAGGGTGTAGTTTTCCTCTGAAGGTCCCTTCTCTTTGAAGGTGGTGTAAATGGGTCCGGTTTTCCTCTGGAAATCCAGTGGAGAAAGGCTGACTGAAAGGTGTTCCGAGTCTCAGATCATATCCAGGTAGGAATGCTGGGCTCCTCCCCCTGGGTGGAGCATCTGACAATGGGATGATGGAATTTATCAGTCATGCAGTGAGACTCAATGGCCCATTAACAGAAGATATCACCCTGGAGGGAGGATGGGTTGTGGAAGAGATAAAGAACACTGCCCCACCTGGTTTTAACAGATGATAATAGAATACATACTTCTGGTTACATCTTGTATTGCAACCCGAGACACAGGGGCATCCTAGAGCACATGACACAGAATTGAGTCCAGATGGTTCTTGAACATGTCCAGTGAGGGAGATTCCACAACCTCTCAGGACAATCTGCTCCAGCGCTCGGTCACTTGCACAGTAAAGTTCTTCCTCATATCCAGGTGGAACTTCTGTCCCTACAGCAGTATCTGCCCATGGCCTCTTGTCCTATTGCTTGGCACCACCAAGATGAGCCACACCTACCCTTTAAATATTTATTCACGTTGATGAGGTCCCCCCTCTGAGCTGTTTCAGGTCCCTCAGCCCTCTCTTGTAACTGGATGCTCCAGTCCCTTCATCATCTCTGTAGCCCTCTGCTGCATCTGCCCCAGGAGCTCCAGGTCTCTCCTGTCCTGAGGAGCCCGGAACAGGACACAGCACTCCAGACCAAGCTTCACCAGGGCTGAGTAGCGGGCAGGATCGACCTGCTGGCAATGCTCTTCCCATTGCACCCCAGGATAGCACTGGCCTTCCTGGCCACAGGGGCACTGCTGGCTCACGGACAGCCTGTTTGCACCAGGACACCCGGGGCCTTCTCCGCAGTGCCGCTTCCCAGCGGGTCGGCCCCCAGCCTGTGCTGGTGCATGTGGTTACACCCCTCCAGGTGCAGGACCCTGCGCTTGCCCTTGTTTAATCTCCGAAGGTTCCTCCCCGCGAAGCTCCTGTCCCGCCGGCGGCGGGAAGTGACGCGCCGGGCGCGCCGGTGGCGCGGGGGCGGGGCGCGGCCGGGCTCCGGCGGGCGCTGAGCGCGGCGGGAGCGGAGCGAGCGCCAGGTACCGAGTGCCGCCGCCGCTCCCCCGCGGCCGCCGCTCGCCCCCTGCCCACGGCCGGCCCGGTGGGGCCGCGATGCTGCGGGGCAGGCCGGGCCTGCAGGGCGGGGACGGTGCGCGGGCCGGGCTCGCTCCGCTCCTCCGGGGCGGCCTGAGCCGAGGCGGGGGGAGCGGGGAGGGACTCCCGCGGCGTGGAGGCGGCGGCCGCCTCTCTCTGCCCCGCCGCGGGATGGGCGCGGGCAGCGGCGAGACCCTGCGAGGGAGGGCGGAGGCGGCGCGGGGCCGGGGCCGGTGTTGGATGGGGAGCGAGGAGGGCTGGGGGGCGCGGGCAGGCTGTGACCGCACGCCGAGCGCTGCCGTGGGGCTGGTGGAGAGCCAGAGAGGGGCCTCGGGGGTGGGCCGGGGCCTCCTCCGGGCAGGCTCCTGCTTCTGGACTCTGTTCCCTCGTCCGAAACGTCGCTCGACGTTTGTAGTGGGGATCCGAGCAATCCAAGTTAAGCGGGTACGGGAGGGACCTCTGTGTAGACGGTGCCCTGGCTGCAGGTTTTGGCATGCCTGGTATCCGGCCTTCTTACTAAATAGCTGCGCTGTCGAGGAGTTGACTTTGTTTCTTCCAGGATAATGTTGAGGCTTCTGATGTTATAAAACCTGGGTGCTCTGCTTGATGCCTTTGGTGAGGGTAAAGATGATAATATCTTAGGGTCATGGGTGGAAGAAAAGCAGGCCTTTTTAGCTGCAGTGTAAATATTAATGTAATTTTAAGATATCATATCTTAAAAAAAGAGAGGGTGAATAGGCTGTCTTAAGATTTTGAGATGGCCTACCTCTGGCCTGATAATGACCTTGAGTATTTCTCAGCAGTAGCTGAGAGACTTAAAAATAAATGGGATAATATTTTCTATCGATATAACATTTCACTTCTCCACTTCTGTTGTTTATTTCCATAACATAGCAACAGAAGTACAGTTTAAAAACGAAAGAAAATCATTGTATGTTTCACTTGTATACTTGAAATTTGTTTTCACGTATTTCTTTTTTCCTCATGAAGTGCATGTCATTACAGTTTGAAATCCGTTAGTGCTTGCTTTTATGGAACTGGATGGAAGAGGTTTTCCTAGCTCTGATTTGAGCAGTGATGCTTTTCTCATAGAAGAAAAAAGTAATTTTTGAAATCCCAAGCCTTAAAATGGCCAGGAAGAGACTTACAAGCAATGTGTCAGTAAGCTTGTCAGTTAGTAGTCAGGGGAATTAAATGCTAAAAAAAAATCAGTGCTTTTGCTGCTAAAGCAAAGCTTGGAGAAGAATGGGCATCAACAGCTTGAGCTGTTTGTGCTGGAGGGTTTGGTTAGACAGAGGCCCATGTGAGTCAGGTAACCTGCCAGGGACTCCAGCAGAACCATACTGCGAAGTTTCTACGGAGTGTGCCTGAAAAAGGTTATTTTTATGGTTTGTGCATGCGTGTGTGCGTACGCGTGAATGTTCTTATATGTATTTGTACGTGGGTGTCTCTTATCTGAGTCAGCAGCTGATAGATTTGCTTTTGGGTTTATGTTTAGATATTATTCTCAAGATACTACTTTTTTTTTCTTTCCAGGCTTTGGTTAGTGTTTTAGACTCATATTTCTCTGAAGCTGATGTTTTCCTAACACTTTCAGCTTGGCTTTAAAAGCTGCTTCGCTAGAATGTTTTAAACGGTTACAAAACCTCTAGGATTTGAAGTTTATTTAAATTAATTGAAGGAAACACTTCTGGCCTCACCAAAGAAATAACTGGAATCATGGATCAGAACAACAGTTTGCCACCCTACGCTCAAGGCTTAGCCTCCCCTCAGGTAAAAACAAATTATTTAGGATGTAACTATGGATCTGAATTTCCTTTATGGACATGTTTTCTCTTTCTTGCATCTAGCTTCATGTTTTTTATTTGCAGATCTGAAAAATTCTGCTAGGTATTGAATAATACTAGTATAAAGCAGAATTCTGAAACCATTGATGTCTATCCAGAAGTATAAGAAACACACAGTTTCTTGTACACGGAGTGTAAGAGTATATGTGGGATTTCTTAACGGGGTGCCTCTTAAGTTGAAACGTGACTGACAAGTTGGAAAGATTAATTTAATCTTGGTGGTTGCTCCTTAAACTATGTACATAATGGATTGTTGCTGGGCTATGAATGCATTTGGTACAGTGAGCACAGCTGGTGTTCAAACAATTTCAAGTTAAATTGTGGGTCAGAGTTGAGGCATGCTTGCAAGGTAGTGTAGATAAGCATGTCATGTCCCTAGATTCCTTTGGGAAGTACTTTATTCTATAGAACAACTGCATTTACAGGGATTTTCTGTTTTTAACAATTCATTACTATATGCTTCAGGTTTGATACGAGCAGCTCAGCTAACATAGATTTATTTTTAGACTCCTCCCGAAAACTTTGTCTCTTAAAAACAAAATGGAGTCATCACGATCTGTGGTTTTTGTGTCATGTTTTCTTCTGTAGGGTGCAATGACTCCAGGAATTCCAATTTTCAGCCCGATGATGCCGTATGGCACAGGACTGACACCGCAGCCTGTCCAGAGCACCAACAGTCTGTCCATATTGGAGGAACAGCAGCGGCAGCAGCAGCAGCAGCAGCAGCAGCAGCAAGCAGCACAGCAATCCACGTCACAGCAAGCGACACAAGGAACATCTGGTCAAACCCCCCAGCTCTTCCATTCACAGACTCTTACCACAGCCCCTTTACCAGGAACCACACCTCTGTACCCCTCTCCAATGACTCCAATGACTCCAATAACTCCTGCAACACCGGCGTCGGAGAGCTCTGGCATAGTGCCACAACTACAGTGAGTGTCCCATGTGTTAGTGCATCATGTGTTTTCTCAGACAGCCCTTTTAAGACTTAGGACCAAAGTCACATTAGGAATTAGGTACTGCATTTTGATGGGAAGGAAGGTCCTGAGAATTTATGAGTCTCCTGTAGCAATATGAGTAATTTTTACTTTTATTTTTAGCTTAGCTTCATTACTAAACCACTTAGTAATATTAACAGTTTCTTAGCGATTTATTAATGGTACATCTTTGGAGAATACCAGTGGAGGATTACATATGTCTTCATTTAACACCATCATCTTTAACTCCTCGTGCTTTAGGAGTTCATGATGTTCCCTTTTCCAATGCATGGCTAACACTGAGTTTGTGAGAAGGGATAAAACCCTAGAACTAGGTCTAAATTTAGGTATGACAGTATTTTCAGTGAACTAGTATTATGAAAGTATATGAACTAGTATATGAAAGTATTTTCAGTTTTAAAGAGGCTATTTCAGAAATTTATAGAAGGGACAAAGAGAAATGGTTGAGTCCATGAATTGAAAGAGTAGTTTCTCATATTTTTCTTATTGTTTTTCCCTCACTGAGGACCTTTAAGTTTCAGGGTTTTCCCAGAAAACAAAATTTTTTATTTAGTAACTTTTTTAAACTTTCTGGAGACCTGCTATCCCATCTCCCTGGCAATGCATTTACCTCCTGGGTCATTCCCATTTAGTTCTGCAGCCTCCTTCTTGAAGGGTGTAGCCAGGAAAATTTCAGATGGTACTATCTCATTTTCTCCTGTTTCCAGCAGCTTCCCTGACTGTGGTGAGGGCTCTCAGCATCAGTAATTTTTCCTGCCCAACTGAAATAGAGATTCTTCTCATGGGACACTTTTTCATAATAGCTGACAGATAAGGAAGAATCAGCAATTGCGCCTTAGGAGCTTCTGCCCTACAAAAGGAGGTTCTTGAACCAAAACACTGCTCAGTGCTCCTTATTAGTAGGAAAGATGCCATTCAAACTCGCTTGGAGAAACAAAAAAAAGTAAAATTGATTAGGCTTGGTTAAAAGTGAGGAAGACATGTGTATTCCTTAATGTCTTTTTAATATATTTCTCTGATCTGTCTTTAGGAATATTGTGTCCACCGTGAATCTTGGTTGCAAACTTGACCTAAAAACTATTGCACTTCGTGCCCGAAATGCTGAATATAATCCCAAGGTAAGAGAAATGTATGATCCTATAGCAGATAAATTAAAGGCACAGGTTGTGGCTGCAGGCTGCTGCAATAGACTGAAAAACCTACCTGCTGTATATGCAGTTTTTTACTGTAGTTGAAAGAGAAATCTTAAGAAGCTTAAGACATTCAAATTAGTAAAAAGCATTCTTATGCTCAGGTAGCTGTGATGTGCATTAGGTTGTAAGTTGTTAGATTTAGAAAAAACCTAACCAACAGTGTAATACACTGGCTGAACTTTCTGTGGTAGAGCTGGCCTCTGCTGCTGTTCATATGGGCATATTTGTTTGTAGTGTTCAGTGAGCTTTTTTTCCATATTACTGTGAAATACCTGATGATGAAATCTTGTTCCCTATCTCCCAACAAAGAGAAGGGAAAGAAGAATTCAAATCCTGGGCTCCTGCCAGAGCTGTGGTTTATCCACCTAGCTGCTCCTCTGGAATTCTTGTGGTCGCAGGGCATTTGCTAATTTTTCATAGTCTGGCTTCCCCTCTGTTCTCATGTTGTCCTCCAGTATTTCTGTCATGTCATTGCTTTTGATGGCTGAGTTTGGTGGAACATTAAAATGGAGCAAAATTAAATTGATTTTCTTGCATATTGCCTTCAAAGTTGCCTGCTGCTTCTTAAGGTTCTAAATAAGTGGTTCTTTTTAGCTTGGGAAATCTGAACAGCAAAGGACCTGGAGCATTAAATTAAGAAAATAATGTTGCTTCATGTTCTTTTTGGGTGGTTTCTCTTGAAAATGTTACCTTTGCAACAACAGTAGCTGGGCACTAATAAAAGTTTAGATGTTGCATAGTTAAATTGGCTTTACTTGGGAAGGCTTCTGTTTTCCTGGGGTGTGTTTGGTCTTTTTTGTTTTAGCATTTAGTATTTTGCTGCATTTGGTCTGAACTCTGCTCTCAAAGGTTAAAGCACGCACACAGGCATATATGATAAATGACTGTTGCTGTAAGTTTATATCAGTGATGCTGTTACATAATTGTGAGTAAGATATTAGTGCAGCAAAAATTTGAGCATGCCTTGGTAACTCCAAAGGTAGGGGGTAGGTGGCTGTGTAAAACTCGTAGGCTAGAATAATCAATATGAAACACTGTTTTCCATTGCAGAGGGATAGAAGGGTTATGTAACACACTCCTGACATTTAGTCAGTACATTCATCTATCAAAGAAAGATGTTGCTTGGCTGTATTATTTAAGTCATATTTTGACAAACGTGCTGTTGGTTAACCCACGCTACCACCTTGTATGTTATATCAGCAGAACAATTCATGGGACTGCAGGGTGAGCTGTTCCAAGTTAAATATAATAAACAGGGGTTTGTGTGTGTGTGTGTGTGTGTGTGTGTGTGTGTGTGTGTGTGTGTATGTATGTGCACCCACATCAGTTTCTCTTGCTTCAAGGAATTTAAGAATATTTGAAAATGCTTACTTAGAATAAAAAGCTAGAGCAGCTGTGTCCTACTGTGGTAGCTGAGGTGACTTCTCTTTAAACAGGACTTTGACCTCCAGCTGTTTTGTTTGTTGGTATTGTAACACTGTCCATTTTTTTTGGATAGTCTTCCATCCTACTTGTAAGAGATAAAATTTCAGCACATATGGAAAAATCTTTTAAAATTTATTTTTAAAATTGTTTCTATTGCTCTGATGCAAATGTTAGCATTATTTATATGGTGCAAATATAGTAATAAGAGATGAATAGGAATGCAGTGGTAAATATCCTTGCTGCCTGGCTCTACCTCTCAGTGTGTGTGCTTCAAGGTACTTATGGTTTAAGCAATTCAAGTAAATTTGAGTGATCTGTGTAAGTATGTTTGACCTTAGTTTTCCTTGCACTACAGTGTAACTTGCTACTTAGATGATGCAGATGTGGTTTTAGTGTAATGATGACAGCACTATGTCACTAACAGTCTCAATGCTCACACTTCAGCGTTTTGCTGCTGTTATTATGAGAATAAGAGAACCACGTACCACTGCACTGATATTCAGCTCTGGAAAAATGGTGTGCACAGGAGCAAAAAGGTATGTTTAGGCATTACAAGCAAACTAATTCAGGCTGTCTTTTCTCGTGTACCGTGATGCTTGTTTATACATACACACATCAAAGTTGTACAGGTACAACTAATCTTGCTTCACAGTTACTTCAGGTTATACACATTTGTTTATGATTGAAGGGACTTCCTAACATATAGGGAAATGGTAGTTCTATTTCTGAAGTGCTTTCATTCACTCTGTTAAACTGGTTTGCAGAGGTTATATTCAATTTTTTAGCTTTGCAGTTATCTCTTTTTTCTAATAATTTAAAAAGTTCAGCAGCTATGCACTGGAGTTGTTTAAAGTGTAGGGATGGTGACAGAAGGATTTATTTTTTAACAGCTTCATCACAGGACAAGAGCTCCAAATCTCTGGTTCATGTAGTCTGATCTGTTCTTAATATGACCACTGAAGCATAAGAGTTGAAAACTAAACATAAGCTTAATTCTGGAGGGCAGGAGAGAAATTCTGCTCCAAAGAAGTCTGCTAGGAATGCAGAAGGAATAAACTAATGAGCAGAGATGAATTAATAGATCTGTACAGGGAAACACTTTCTCTGTCTGGTGACATTTGAAATTCAAGTTGTCTTACTCTACATCAGGAACAAACAGATCCTCATCTGTTTACAAACATGAAGCAAACTGAATTCTGCAACAGTGGGTAAGGCTGTGCAGTTATTTTAGACCCATGTTTGAATGCCTGGGCTGAATCAAGCAGATTTTGCCAGTTTACAGATTTTTATAGAAATATGTATCTTCTAGCAGTAGGAGTTCAAGGTTGTTCTACAGTGAAGTCTTAAGTGACAATCTTAATGTCCCATTAGAGGGACTCTGGTCAATATTTTAGAAGCGTAAAATGTATGGATCTATAATTTCCTGTTTTGTCTCATGAACAGTGAATGCAACACTAATGGCGTCCAGGAGCTTATTACCAAAATTAGCATGAAAACCTATCAGAGCTAGTTGTTAATTTTGGATGTAAAAATTTTTCATTTCTCTCCCTCCACACAGACTTTTTTCCCCAATTAGGTATTTGTGGTTTAATGCTGTTTGCTTGAAGTAATACTTAACTGAGGCAGTAATACAGATATCCTTTTCTCACTTCAGTGAGGAGCAATCCAGACTGGCAGCAAGGAAGTATGCAAGAGTTGTTCAGAAACTGGGTTTTCCTGCAAAATTTTTGGATTTTAAAATTCAGAATATGGTGGGAAGCTGTGATGTGAAATTTCCCATCAGACTGGAAGGATTGGTACTCACACACCAGCAGTTCAGCAGGTAAAAAAGGCTTGCTTCTGTTTCATTCTTGTTGCATACTATCTTAGAAAGTGACATCTTTTAGATTATTCCCTTGCACCACAGGGAAACCTGCATCTTTGTTTCCATCCCTGCACTGCCTCAGCTGTAACTGAGGCTGCCCAATGTGAACCTGTCAAAATGATCTTCCCTGCTACCCTCCCCAAGTTTCAGGGAGGCATACATCTGCTCTGCCCAGTCCTAGACTGGCCCCAGAAGATAGGGTGGAACATAGGTCTGCAAGCACATTTAAACACTCTCACTCTCTTCTCTTACAGCTACGAGCCAGAATTGTTTCCTGGCTTAATCTACAGAATGATTAAGCCAAGAATTGTTCTGCTTATTTTTGTTTCTGGAAAAGTGGTTTTAACTGGTAAGTGAAGACAGTATGTTACTCCAAGATTTAGACTGTATTACAGAGAACACATGGGGATATGTAAGCTGCCAGGTACTTTTCCTTTAGAGATGACAGTACTGAGAAAGGAGAGTTAATAGAATATTTCATGGATGCTGATGTTAAGGAAACTTCCTTGTGCAGCCATCCAGCAGCCACTCTGGCAGTCAGAGCCACTACAGCTGCGGTAGGACTAAAACCTGTTTGCAGTGGGCAGCTCCAGCGAAGCCAGCAGGTGTCCTGCTTGACTCCCTACACACCCCACTCGCACAGTCAGACCAGGTTTTCTTGAGGGCTCAGCACCAGGCTTTGTTATGCAAAGATTCAGCAGTTCAGGCCTCTTTCCTGGGGTTCCTGCACCCAGAGCTCAACCTGCAGCTCAGCACTGCCACTGCACACAGAGCTACCTGCACTATATTCCTTAACAGATGAGAATGCACAAAGCAACAGCACATTTGGTTAGATCAAAGGAACAAGGATCATGAACCCTAGTCAGGTATGCAGGTGTCCAGAAAGCTGTAAGAATGCAGGTGATCTTTTTGGCAAAATCTGAAAGACTCTTTCTGTGGCTGAGCATGTGTGGCTAGATTTTCTCTTGAAGCTTGGCTGCAGGCTGCTGCCATGCTCTGTGATACAGCAGCAAAGGGAGATACTTGAGCTCTAGGACCTCCTCAACCTCAGGTGCTTGACCTACTCCCTTCATTTCCTCTCATGCTGTGTCTTACTATGGAGAAAAAATGCACAAGATCCACAGACAAAATCAGGATCTTGTCCCTGCAGTGTGGAGAAATGCAGTCCTCTGCAGTGGTCTCCATTGCCAGACCTTGCTCGCCCTGATGCACTCTCAAAAAAGCTCCACCAGCTAGGTCTTTCTGCACGAACATCCTGCAGGGCTGTGCTTTGTTCTTGGGTCTCATGTGGAAATTATGTATATGAAAATTCCATTTACAACATAGCGTCGTCACAGAGATGCTAGTGAAAGTTTTAGCAGTTGTCAGATTAAATGTAGAAGACTGGTAATGTAAGCTATGAAATGTATTAAAAAGGATTGTAAAAGTAGAGATTTATGGATACAGGTAGGTTTTATATAGAGTTCCATTCAAATATACATTCTAAAAGCTAAAATTAAGTATTTGGTGAAAGGTACAAACTAATTTAATCCCTTGTCTTTTTCCAGGTGCTAAAGTACGAGCAGAAATCTATGAAGCATTTGAAAACATCTATCCTATTTTAAAGGGGTTCAGAAAGACAACGTAACAGTTTCTACACCTTTCAGAGAAATCAGGGGTATATTTTCAAAGGTATTGTGTATGGCACAGCAGTAACAAGAAACGGACTTCCAGTGCAACTGCAACACCAGGACTTGGACTATTTCCCAGTTAGTGCCTACTTCCCTGATGCTCAAGGGGAACTGTATTTTGAGTATGTCTACTGAGTTACTGTGAGTTGCTTTACTGGGCTGTTCCCGGAGCAGCCTCTCCAACTTTTATTTATATTCTAGCTTTTAAATAGTTTTAATGCCAGTTCTATTAATAGAAAAACTGTAAGTTGGTTTAAAGACAAATGCAACTGTGTCACTCAGTGTATAAACCACTTAAATTGTCATGTATATATGTTTTAAGTTCCTTCCATAAGACCATGGTTTTTATAATTTTCAGAACTTTAGCTTTTAAATTTTTTCAATTTAAAATTTCTTTTGTGCCAGACACATTCCCTCTTTCCAGTATTAAGCAAGATAGAATAAATTTATTAATTAAAATGGCTCACTGTACATATATATATAATATATACCTTTCTTCTCTTTCCTTCTTCAACTCCACATGTACAATAAACCCTGTTTATACAACTATGGGAACTGTCTTAATAAATTTTAAAATTACCCAGCTGGTAGAATGAAATACATTGAATTTTTTTTTTATTTAATCAACTTTTTAATAGCAGATGCACTGCTATAAGTGACATGTTGTTTTGAGAGAATCTTAGCAGTGCTCTGGCTTGCATACCAGCAGTCACATCCTTGGCAATGTCTACCTTGAATATTTCCAGCATGTTAAAGTGAAAGAGATGATTGGTTAAAGAAGCTTGTTTTTGAGTATGCGTTGCCTTATGTTCAACAGATGGGATTTAGGCAAGTCTTAAATAGCTGCACTTGACTGAATTGAAACAATAGATCCCTGCTTAGCTTCTAGAATTTCTTTAAATTACTACTTTTGTATTTCACCAGCTGCCTCACTATATTAGTGTTCCTGTAAAATGTCAAAGCCCTTCCAGCTGGAGTCAGTATGTACATAACGTTCCTTCTGGACCATGCTTGAAGCCTGATGGGCTGAGAACTAAAAATAAACTTTTTTCTTCAGTAAATTTCCAGTAATAGTAACCTCTCTGTGACTTACACATTATTTCTAACAGCTTTTATCTGAAACTAACCCAGATGTAAACAATGGTCTCATTACTAAGGTGGTGTTTCATTCCAGACAAAATTAAGCTTTGGCTGGCTTTGATACTGCTCCATTTGCAAATCCTTAGTGACCTAAATCTTTAGTCTTCTCTCTACACCAGTGTCTCTCTAGGTGTTTTAATGACTGGTTTCATGGATCTTACCAGAAACATGCTGTTTGTTAATGTAGTTGTGCAGGATATACTCAAACACTATGTTGCCTTCAGTGCTACGCCACTCTGTGCTGTGAGCTCATGAATGTTCCTGAGAGCTCCTGACTACAACTGTATGGCTGTCCATGCTTTTGCAGCACCTGAACTATTACCAGCTTATGTGCAAAATTCTTCAGAAAGCTTGGAGCCCTAAGAAACCACGGGATGGCATTCAACAAAATCAGTCGAGCTGTATTACAATGACTTAAGACAGTTTGCTCTTTCTCAACACAGACCAGGGCTTAAATTAAGTTCTGTGATAACAAAACCACTTCCAGGTACAGCATTCTGTGACTGCTTATTTGAGTACTTTCAACATCTAAATGATTTCAAAAACCCCACAGCGGGCCCCACAGAGTCACAGGTAAGCAGCCATGAATGGCTGGAGCAGGATAAGGGAATATGTAACTGAAGTCAGTTCTATACAGAAACACACAAAAATGCTTTTTCTGCAAGTACAGCCATAGCCATAGGAGTAGTTAAACAGCTACCACAGTAAAGCTTCAGCATGAAGGTTTCACTTTTCTCTTGCCTCAGCTATATGGCAGTCATATAGTGGAAGAATCTCTGCAGAGGACACTTATTTTTAAACTTCAGCAATGATGGCAGACTTAAGGTACAAAATTCAGCCTGAAAATCTGCTGCTACAGGCAGTGTGTAACAAGACAAATGTGTTCTGGTATGGCTGACTCTGTTTAGCTTCTGCATCAGATAAGTGAGTTAAACTACTTCTGCATGGGGCTAATAGTTTCAAGTCAGATAAAACACTTAATTTTTGTGCATTTTGTGCATCAACTACTCAGAGCAAACTCAGTGACAAACTCCCAAGTTAGGTTTAGTGTACCTTTTGAGAAAGGGAAGCATATTTAAGTTCCACAACAAAATTCTGTGTTCTTTGTCTTAGCTGACTCCTGTACAGCTCTTCAACATAAGCACTCAAGTGGGTTTACAGCAGTCTGCTTTCCTTTGAATGAATGTTAATTTTTTGAGTAACCCAGTGAAAATCCTGACAGACTACAATCTTTTAAGTTTTTGAGGTTCCATTACCAACAATAGATAATTTCACCAATCCAAAAGTTTTTCATCTTTAATAAACTTTCAGAAATGAGATTTGAAATGAAGCTTTCTGAACAAACGCATCTGGCTTCAGTACCAGGTTGAAGTAAAAGCTTCCCTGGAGTACAAGAGAGGTTGTCAAGGTCTAGCTAAAGCAGTTTTATTACTGTTAGAAGATGCATGGTTTTCAGTGACTTCAGTTCAACTACGTGTTTGCATAGTGCAGAGATGCAGTGAAACAAATCAAGTATTCTGTTTGGATGACTCAGCTTCATAAAGTTGAGCCATGGAGTGGTCTTGTTTCCATATGAACTCTTCCAGGTATTGGTTTGCCCCTCCGCAGCTGTCAGCGCAAGTGTACACCACCAGCGTTCCCCAGTCAATGCTCTCGCCAAGGCTGTCAACCTGAAGGTGATTCAGGAGCTGTGGCATAATCTTCAAAGAAAACCAAAAGGTTTAGAGGCAGGCCACAGGCTTCTCCCCTCTCCCCACTTCTCCTCCTGAAGAACAGTCCTGCGTTTGGTGTAAGAATTTGTATTCTTTTATACCAAAATCCCAGCTGAAGCTACTATGTGGATGGCAGCTCAAATAAAATAAATTTGGAATTCTAGGTAAGTTTTATTTCACCTTATAAGACTTGCCTGATCTGTGAGCCTCCCACCATTTGAAATTCTGTTGGCAACTATGTTTTGCCTTTGCATGACATTAAGTGTATTCACCATACATAAACCTCTAGCATTCAAAATTCTACAGCTGAGTACTTCCAGCAAAACGTATTTATAATGAACATCATGAAGTGAAAAGGCACTTAAAAGAGTAAATAAAGGCTCTGTACAATCATTTAGCGCAGTTAGTTTTGTTGCAACTTCAACCTTCTTGCTGGAATTACAAGCCAATACCTATACAATTAGATCCTGAGTCTGAAATACATTACCTGTATTATTTTTAAATGTTACATACCTGGAATTCAAATATCCTTTTGGCACCACATACACAATTTGGGATATCTTTTTCTTCAGGCCTGTTTTCACCTGACACCCAGAGTGGACCTTCTCCTCCTCTGCAGTATCTAATAATCTGAAATACAGCAGAAGTTTAAGTTCTCATGACTGTCATCTTGGTATAAAATTGGTGTTTAGTGACAAATCATTTGCAGTGATTTTTATTTCCCTAATCAAGGGACTCAGAAATGCAAGGTTGTTTATGCTACAGTCTTGAGACAGAAAGAGCAGCCGGATAATTAGCACACAGACCTGTAGAGTCAGGAATGCAATCCAGATCTTCCTGTCTGAAGTTCTGCATCTGAATACAATCAGACTATCCTAATGTTCAAGAAGGTATTTTCAGACATATCCTTTCTTTTTCTGTTACTAGCAAACTAGGCATTATCAGCAAAAGGACACTTGGACAGATCAGTCAGTACAGAGATGGTCAGAAAGGGTGAGGCAGAAGCAGAGAAGGGAAAAGACTCCAAGTCTTCTACTTTCTGAGTGTGTACCTTAACCCCTCAGCCACCAGGCAAAACATGGAGAGAACTTCACCACTTTGATGGGTTTAGGCCTGTGCCTTCTCTGAATGAAACCAGGGACCATGGTTTTGTTTGACAATGTAGCTTTTTAGCCTTTTGCATTAATAAGAAATAACATGGGGAGAAGATTTCTGTTTTAAATAGTGGAAAGTTTAAAGCCATCAGAAATTCAACCTTAAAAAAAAGTTAAGCCACCCCCCAATGTAGCTGGTGACAGTGATAGAGCTATTCTCTGCAGTTTTTGTTCTGCTGAGAAGGAAGGCCAACAGGGCCACAGGATGGGGAACAGTGCAGTGGAAACGCTGCAGGTGCAGCAGGATGCTGTGTTAGAACACACGTTCAAAGGCCGCCCCATCTTCTGACCTGCTCTGGTTCAGCAGCTACTTGTTTTTTAAACATTCGGAAGATCTTTTCTTCTTCAGTCTCATGTTTTGCCATTGCTTCCAATGTCTCTTCATCTAAGGACTGAAATCTTGCTTCATCTAAGCAAGAAAAAAAGAACAATAGAAGTTACAGGCTAATACAAGACACTAAAAATTAAAAACAATATTAGTACGTGTAAATTCATTTTGCTTCATAAGTTGTTACTGGCATAAATCTAAGATTGTTTTCTTTTCATGGCATGTTAAGATTTGGTCACACACAGGTTCCATTTACTAGTTTTATTTGCATTTTAAACATAGATGTCAGTACTGGAATACTGGAAAGGGAAGGAATTAATTTACCTAAGTTTATGGCTCCCAGCAGGTATCACTGAGACTACAGAACCCTCAGGATACAACATCTGAAAAAGGCCCTGTGTGCTGTGCATGTACCAGACTTCAGTTTTTATCACTGAAGAGTGTATCTGTTACACTCCAACAACCACATCAGTGGGGGCACTTAACACTCTTGAGACAGCAAGGGACCACCAGGAACCAAGCATCCTTCCCTGGCACCACCACAATCTCCACCCTGGGTGTGTTCAAGGCCACAAGTGTGCTCTCAGCAAACTGGTTCATCGTGAATTTAGGGGGAGCAGGGAGGAAGGAGCCTGCACTTAACTGCTGGATTCAGAGTTAAAATTAATTCAGTTAAACTATCCTCAAACCAGTTTTCTGCTAGCACAGAGAAGGAAATTTTATTTTCCATAAATTACGATAAATCGAACTAAGTCAAGCCAAGACACTCCAACAATCTCCCAATTCCAAGAGCATCCAGCAACACGTGCAGTCCTGTCCTTCTCATTAGAGTTGTGCCCTGCCTATTAGAAGCACACAGGGACACAGTGTAACTCTGAGCTATCAGCAGCAACAGCTGCTTCAATAGCTCCTGGAGTCAGAGCTTAGTAACTCTCTCCCGTACCAGCAGCTTATATTACGGCACGTCTACAACAAACTAGCATCACAAACGACTGCACATTTAGCCTTTTTTCACCAGTAGTTTACAAGGAACGCTTAAAAAGCACAGTACTTGATGTTTTAAAGATGTGGTAACAGGCACCACTGGGAAGAATTACAGACAGCATTTTATTTCTGACCTGCAATGCCTGCAGCTCCAAGTTCCTCTTGTTTTGCGTCCTTTGATGTATCTTCAGCACCTTGTTCATCATCAGTGGTGTCAGCAGGAAATTCTGGTTCCTCAGGTTCTATCAAAATTTCATATTCTGGAAAAAGGAACTCGTTATGCTCTGGAATTGCATCTGCCGAGTCGTCTAGAAAACAGAAGACAGACACCACTTCACAAGGTAATCTTGTGTTTCACGTCCTTCTCCCCAAAAGCTACACAGCAAACTCCATAGCAGAAACATTGCGAGAGCAAGAAAGATTTACATCACTGCTAGACCTGACCTGACGGTAAGAAACGCTGTTACGTTAAGGACAGCGGAAAACTGCAACAGGCGTCCCGTTGCTTTGAACCTCTGGAAATCCGAGAGGTGTGGAGGGCAGACCGAACAGTGCTAGCAGCACCACTTAAGAACTCAATAGCTGCAGCTCGGCGGCTCGGCGCGGTATTAAGCGCAGGCTGGCGCGCGTGTCGAGCTGCCCCCGTTCCGGAGGTCCCTGATGGCCGCGGACCCACCTCCGGCGGCGTGCTGCCCGCAGGAGCGGCGGTGCCCGCTCCGCCAGTCCAGCGCCTGGTGCTCGGGCCCGCAGTAGGCGGCGCGGCGGCAGCGCCCGCAGCAGCGCGGCCCGAGGCAGCCGCAGACGCGGCAGAGCGCGGCGCCGCTGCCCAGCCGCCGCGGGGCCGCGGGGGCCGGGCCCGGGGGCGGCTCCTCGGGGGGCGGCTCCTCGGGGTACGCGTCGTTCCGCCGCGGCAGCTGGTTCCGGAACACTGCGGGAGAGACGCGCCGGTCAGCGGGGCTGCGGCCGGCGGCCCTCGCCCCTTCCCTCCCCGCGTCCCCGCGCCTCACCGCGGAAGGGCCCGCCCGGTCCCGCCGGGCGGTAGCAGGCGGGGCTGCGGCAGGCGAACACGAAGAGGGTGCGGTGGAAGGCGTCGGGGCGGCCGGGCAGCGGCGCGTACAGCTGCAGCAGGAAGGCGCAGGGCTGCTGGCAGCGGCCGCAGCGCAGAGCGGCGGGGCCCGGCAGCCCGGCCTCGCCCAGCCACGCCGGCCTCCCCCCGACCTTGCTGGGGAAGTAGGCGCTGCGCAGCCGCCAGGCACCGCCCGGGCCCTCCGGCGCCGCCGCGAAGCCCAGCTCCACGCCGGGAGCCATGCCGCTTGCCCAGGGCCGCCAGGCGCCGAGAGGGGCGGGCGCTGCCCCGGCCCCGCCCCTGCCCCCTCTCCCCTTCCGTAACGCGGCAGCAGGGAGGAGAGCACTGAGGAAATAAAAACCCTGGAAGACGAGGGCAGAGCTCTGCCCCCTCAACGGACAGCGCAGTCAGCGGTGAGACAGGGAGGCAGAAGAGACGACAGACACGTTATCGACGGTGCTTTAATGCAATGTTTAAATATAACATTCATTAAGTAATTAAAATAATGCCAAGCTGCCTTTTTAAAAAAAAAAAAAAAGAACAAAAAAACAAACAGCAAAACCAAAACCAACCCAAACATAAAATACCAAAACACAAAACCCAACACATGTATCAGTTCTGGTTATTGCCCAAGGGTTGATTTGTGCTTGTCATTCATGTGGGCCTTGCCTTGCATTTAGCCAGCCAGCAACGTTTTTTTCTAAATATTAATTTTAATAGAAGTTTTTTTATTCCCTGTTACATTTTCACATCCATGAAATATTGGAAACCAATCACATTCCTTGTTACAAGTCTAGAAAAATGTATTTAGGTAGCCATTGCTGTGCACATCTGTTTCAATATTAAAAAAAAAAAAAAAAGACAATGTTTAATTTGTTTTGAAAAACAAAACACAGTGAGGATGTACATACACCTCTAAGCCCCTCAGCAGCAATTCCTAAGTGGTAATGGAGAGAGCTGTCCAGCTGAAGAAACACTTCTCTGCCACCCATGCTTGCAGGCTGGCTGGGCAAGAGTGGAACCTCATCTGGTCCTGTCCCTGCTCCAGTGGGGCAGTGGTCCACGTTCTCAGCAGGAGCTTACATCCACTCACAGCATCAGGAACCGTTTAGAGTCGTGCAGCCACAGGTTTCTGTACAGGTATCCGAGCATCTAACAGAAAAACCCACAGCAAATACTTCTGATCAACATGCTGCAAACACCATGCCAATAAACTACTTCTTACTTTACTGCCCTCAGCCACTGGGTTACACAGCATGTGAAATAAGGAAGATTCAAAGCTGCAGCTAATGACAGCAGAAAAGGCATTGTAAAGAACATTACTAAGATTTTTATGCAGTTAAATCTATGGAACTACTAGGTGAAAAGCACTAAATCTAACATATATGCATTGTCCAAAGTAATTTTTAACTTGAGAAGCTCTCTTCAAATTAGAGAACACTTACCAAACATGTCCAGGATTTTACTAACAGCCTCTTGATTTACATTGTAAGTAAACCCATTTGGCCTACAATTACAAAAAAAAAAAAAAAAGTTTATTCAACAAATATTTCTTATTCCAGTCATTTCTACACAAATAATCTGAATTAAAACATTTTCATGATTACATAGTATTTTTCATCCTGTCAGCATACATATCAAATTTAAGGACATATCAGACTTCTGCTCAAGAACAACCATTATTTCTTTATCTTTCCTCTTGCTCATAGTCCCCAAATTCTGTTGCACTCAATTTATTCCTTTTACTTGAAAGGGGAATTTAGCTACAGACATCTATCTTAACCGACTCATTTCATGAACAGAGGCATAAGGAAATAGCTCAGCTCATCAGCTGACAACTATGTTCTGTGAAACACTCAAGGCACTGCAGGGACTTGTTGTACTGGGGACTTCCACGATCATACTTTTAAACACGGTAAGAAGTACCACAACACAAATTTGTTTTATAACAGAACAATGCATAACACAGCAACAGGTGGGTTTTGGCCTACAAACCATGAACTGTGTAAAAAGTCTCGAATTATTAAGCTTTCAGTTATATTGCTTTGAGATGAGTTCAGTGCTGAAGTCCCCCAAAACTAGCAGTGTTCCTGATTATTGCTTACATTTCCTGACAAGGCTTACTGCAGCACACAGTACTACAAATAAGCAGTGCTGTTCTTTTCTTATCAGAGCCTTGGCAGGAAACTTGAAAACCAAAAGGTAAAGGGAATCAGAAGCAGCCTGCTAGTGAGTTAATGAATTTAGCTGTTAGGTCCCACAGGAGTCTTTCCACTATGAGGGCATGCCATTCCACCCCCACATCACGTACAGAAAGGAACTATTGGGTCTTTTCCGTGACTCTGGTGCTCAGGCAGTTGGGCTTCTGCTGCTCTGCTAGGAGCTCAGACATTAAGAATTGCCACTAAGATTTCTATACACCGGAAATCTATCATTACTTACATTTTCTTCCTCTTCACTGCACCCAGTTGCACAAGAGCTGATAAGGCATTTTTCTGCATGTCAGAAGACAGCGCTTCGTAACACTGTGTACTCCCTATGGAGAAGGGAGAAACGCAATTAAAATTTTTACAATTTTCAGTTAACAGGCTGCTCTTGTAAAATCGTATTGCATAACAGCTGTACACACCCTTCTCGAGAAGTTGAAAAACAAAGTTGCGAACTCCAGGTATAAACTGCTTCTCATTAAATGCTTCTTTCACTTCCTTTGAGAGGTATCTGAAAATTAACTAACATTTTCAAGAAAATGAGAATTCCTTTCTTTTATATTGTCAGCTTGTAATGAATTATAAATAGACATGTCCTTGTAAGTAAGTAATACTATTCCACTTTGAAAAGCACAGGAGAGGAACTCAAAAGGTACCACTGCACAAGGCATCTGGAAGTTTTATTACTGTTTTACAGGTAAGAGAATCCCAATATTAAATTAAGACTCAGTATTTCTATAGACACTAAATTTATATTCTTGTTTTTACAACCAAAAACAGTTGAATTTTTTTAAAGCAATACCTTTTCTGAAGATGAGAAAAAATGGGCACATCAGTACAGTTCCACCCACTTTACACATCAGATCATTAATTAGATTCCACTACAGTAAACATCTACAGTCTCACCAATCTTATACTGACTTACCAGACATCTGGGTTTCTATGCATTGCTTACTACAGGAATTTAAATATTTAATCTTATTAAAACCTCAGAAAAACCAGAAGAAAACCAGAATAAAGATATATGGATGTAATTAATGACTCCCATAAAAGTTATCAGATAGGAGATGAAAACTCATTTTCACACCTGGCAGGACAGCCCACACAAAATTAATTAAGCAAGAGCTCCTCATAAAAAAGAGCAATGAACCTGGTAGCAGCACACTCCCTGTGAATCTTACAAACCCACAATGAGCCGTCACATTACACAGTAGTCACAGCTTTAGTAAATTGGACAAGTCTGAGCCAAAAGCTAAAATTGGGATCCTTGGGGGAGGGTGGTGTTTAAGATTTATTACTGCTATTTCTTAACTTTTGCATTTCTCAGCCTATTTACACAGCAGTATCACAGCTCTCTTACTTTCCTTATAAAACACAGGAAGAAAAAGAGATAGTTTTCTGAAGGACAACATACCTGATAACCTTCCACAAAAGGTCTGAACATAGCTGACAAGAAAGACACTGTACCACTTCCTTTGTCAGTAGGGTAAATCTCCTGTTGACTCGTTTGAATGGCATCACATTTTGTGAGTAGAAAACATCCCTCCTCAAAATCCTGGGTGAGAAATGCATAACTAAAATTCTAACATTTACAGAAGTGCAGCTACCATTTCCCCACAAAATCAACAACAGAAACCACAATAGGGCACCACTTTCATTTCTGAACTCAGTTCTCAAGAGACTTGAACCAAAACTTTCCTGTCTCCCAAAAATACCTTTATAAAAAGGCAGTGGGAACACGTTCTTAAACACAGCAGTTCCTCAACGGACAACAGGCCTTGGCACAAAGAAAGTGGCCGTGGCTGCTAGTGCAGCAGCCAGCCTGAGCACCCTCAGGATTTTGTCAAAACAGGGTCAGGTTGTCCAGTTTAGGGCTTTTTCCTGTGGGTGTTTTATTTATTTATCTATTTTTAAACTTAGGGTTTGCCTTTATCTCATGTCCACTGTTTGCAATAAACGGTAACACAGACCACTGACCTGCCCTCTACCAAACAGAAAACAAAATGTACAAAAAGTTACAAAGTATGGAAATGTCAAGGACAAAAACAATTTACCACCAATATGGGTGAAAGGGGGACAGACAACACGAAGGGATGGCACAAGGACATGACAGACACATGAATGAATGAAGGGGTGAGTGGGTGGGCAAAAGATTCCTTAGCATCACAGCAACTCTTTCATCTTACAGCCGCAAAGTCAATCATAGCCAGCCACCCTTCCGCTCCCTGCTACTTTCTGCTATTTCAAAAAAGTAGCAAGAATCAACAATTGCTAACAAATAAAACTTAACAGTGCCAATCAGCCTTTAAAAAAGGCAATTCTCATCTATATAAAAATTTATGAGATTTTAATGCATTTGCAAGTCTAGAACATTCTTGTGAAAATTACACTTACCTCTTTTTCAATGCACAAATATCATAACTATGACCATCGTATATTTGTCTTTAGCATTGATAAAAATCACATGTACTCAGCTCAAAATCCAAATAAAAACTACACATACCAATTTATCTTGTGAGGCTGAACCAGATATTTTTTTACTGATAAACTTGTTTGCACCTGAAGTTTGGAGCAGAGCCAGCTTGGACCCAGCAGGTTTGTGTACAAACTGACAGAGCAAGTCCTGCAGAGAGCCAAGGGGTGCCTGCAGTTTTCCCAGCTTGCCTGTATCCAGCTGTGCTAGGGGTGCACACAGGCACACTGAGCCCTGGAATATTATCCAGGGCTCCTGGATATTAATTAATCCAGTGTGCAGGAACAATACTGGCTTTGTCTGACTGATGGCGGCATGGGGCAGGAGGTAAAATGAGGGGAAACTTTTGAAGCAAAAAAGGATGCAAGTAAAGCTTCCGTAAGACTCTTATGAGGGAAGCTATTATGCCACTAGAAAAGCTCTCGCTTCAAAACCCTTCACAGGCTGCACCCCTGACAGCATTTGCACTTCATTGTTTTAACATGCATTTTCAGATCTGTGCTGGAAGACTAGTAGCTTTATGCAAAAAAGCCAAATTTGTGCTACAGTTCATTTTAATAGT